GGGGAGGGGGGGAATGGAACACCTGTAATACTTTCAACAATAAGGATAAATTTAAAAAATAATAATAAAAATAAAATCACAGATCCATTTAAAATCACAGTCAAGAACAATCACGTCAACAAATCTTCCTATTATTGCAACTTTATCTTATTTTTCCATGGATTGTCATGATAAATTGATTTTCATTATTCTGTTTAAATATACAGGAGTGGGAAAAAGTAGGTTTACAGTTGTGAGTGGCATTTTTGAGTTAATGAAGCTACTGTAATAATCATAACCTGCACACCTTTGTCCATATGAACAACTGTTAGCCTACTTTTGCCCACGCTGTATTTTATTCCGGCATCATTCTACATATATCTCCTTTTCCCTCCTCCAGTATCAAATAGTTAATCATGTAACAAAATAATGTTATTTATTCTGGAAATCATTTAACCATGTAAACTCAGACTCCAAATATGTCATGTTTGTGGGTCTATATTTTTATTCAATGGATGTTCTAAATGAGTACAATTTGAATTACATTATGAGAATTTGATTACGGTTTTTTAAATGCATTCCCGATTACTCTAACTTAACACCACTATTTTCTTTGTTCTGGTCACATCGATATTTCACTCTCTCTCTCCCTTTCTCTCTCTCTAAAACCGATAAACATATTCTCAGGTGAGAATTTTAAAAAAAAAGTAAGCTTGTTCCTGTGTAGGACCCAACAGATAGAAGATTTTGCTGAAGAGTTACCCAAAACCCAAACAAAGAGCAAATAAATGAATTGAAATATCTCTGAGAAACCACATAGAAGAAATGTTGGATAAGACATTGCAGAGAGAAACTGGGCTATACACAGAATTCTAAAATGAGGACTCCATGAAAAGTTATTTGAGCGTATTTCCCACTTGTGTGAACACTTTGGTAATTCTTGGGGTCCTACATATATGACCTCAGAGATTCACAACGTATTTCAGCTGGTGCTCGTGGCATGAAGATCAGTTCCCTGGAGAAGCTGATAGTCAGCTGCAGGGACTGAAACTCTGGGTGAGGACACAGGTTGTTTGAAGCTTTGTACCAAAGAACTTGGGTGAATGATCCTGGCAAGAAGTCAGGGAGGGTCTGCAGACAGACAAAGGAGACAGACAGAGGGAAATAGAGGTAACAACTCCCTGTGAGGCACGAACGCCTCAGGCACTGATGAACTCACCTGCCCATTTCCACAGCCCTGTGAGGCAGTTGCCACTATCCGCAGTTTACAGGTAACGGAATTAAGTTTGAGAGGTGAATTCATTTCCTACGTAATGAGTTGGGACTTGAACCTCCTATGCTTGTCCGATACTTAAGTGATTTCCCTAATTAAGCCACACTAATTCTCAAACAGTAAGCAATATATAAACTGTAAAAATCTCCATGGCAAGCAAAGAAACCATAATTTTATTTTATTTTATTTTTTAAATATATCTTTATTGATTTCAGAGAGGAAAGGAGAGGGAGAGAGAGAGAGACAGAAACATCAATGATGAGAGAGTCACTGATCGAGCCCGCAACCCGGGCATGCGCCCTGACCGGGAACCGAACCCTGATGGCCTAGATCCTAGGTCGATGCTCAACCACTGAGCCACACCCGGCCGGGCAAAACCGTAATTTTTAAAATGACACAGATTGCATTAACCACAATTATAAATAGTAAAATGCAAATGAGACTATTAGGGAAAGAACAATAAACTCATATTTCTGGTGGTCTGTAGATATGTGAGCCCATTGAATCACCAGTCTGACCCACACTTATTTTAAGAGCCCTTAAATATAGTCATATCTTTGGACCTAGTAATCCTACTTACAAGTTATCTCAAGGGAAAAATTCAAAATTAGAAAATAGTATTCTTAGAAAAATGCCCACTGTAGCATATTCACAATAGTGAGTAACAGAAACTATCAGTGTACCCACAGGGGCATATGCAAAAGTGTGGGTATGTCAAGGACATGGTATATTATTAAGTAGATATTAAAGTAATGAGTAAGTTCTAATATGGAAAGTGACAAAAAAGCAGTACATAAAATTGGATGACCTTGTCCCTTGGGCCTGTCTGTGTTACACCTGGTGTCCAGGCATCGCTGCTCCTCCGTGCCTCAGCTGGTCTCGGTGTTGACTGCCTTTGTCGCAGGAGTTGCTGGCTTGACACCCTCTTCCGTCTTTAAAGTCAAATGACCCCTAACATGTCAGAAGGTGCAGTTTCTGAATTGGAAAAGCATTGAAAATATAAACGTCTGTCTTCTTTCACTAGGGCAGGGCAGTTTGGGAGCTCCTGAAGGACCGTCCCTCTCTCCTTGGTGACAGGAACTTGAACCAGGATGTATCTGGCAGCGTCACTCCAGGGGACGGGAGGAGGGGACACACTGTGTGTCCTTCCAGCAGCAGCAGCGTAGTCTCACCCTCTGGGAAATCCATGGCTCCTTTAGGTGTTTGTGGGCTTTTTGTTTGGTTGTTTGTTTGTTTTTTTACATAAGCCTCTATGTATCATGAACAAGGTTTCCTTTTTATGTTATTAAACCTGCTTTCCCCCATCTCCATGCCTGCTCCCCCCGTTTTTACATGTTACAAATGAGCGTGGGCCTCCTTTTCTGCCTGAATAGATGCAACAGTTCTACCTTCTCAGGCGCATTACGCACCCACGGTGCAGCACCAGCTGCCAGAGGTGAGGCCAGGGCCTGGGAGAGGCTCACGGGAACACAAAGGGACTGAGGCTCAGCCCTGGCTTTACAGAGTGGCCCGTTCTTCACTTTCCTGGGCAGGGCCAGTAGCCGGCGTGTCTCCCTGTGGCTTTACAAAACTCTGCTATGGAAAGTGTCAGAACTCACAAGGTGGAAAAGCATGGCCTTAATCACAGCCTTGATTCCTACCCCGTGCCTGCATCCTGACGCTAGGCGTGGGAAGGGGGGGATGGTGGACACAGTCCAGTTTGGCCCAGAGCCCACTCTGCAGCACTTGCTGTGAAACCACAGTGACTGAGGTGGCCACAGGGCATTGTCATTGGCACACATGTCTCCCTGAGTCCTGGCATCACAAGTTCCCCCTGCAGCAGAGGGCCCGATGCCACCTTGGCCTCAAGTCTGTGCAGCGCCCTCAGTTGTTCTGGGTGAGCCCCTCAGGCACAGCCGCCTGTCCTACCTGGAGCCAGAATGAGATAATGTTGGAAGGATTTGGAAGAATGTTCAAATTGCATCCAGCGACTGGGCTGGCGATTTGTTTGTGCTGTTGGACTGATTTACAGTCATCTGAGTTGTATGCAGAAGCCCTGTGTCCGGATCACGTGTGGTCACATCCCACACTGTGGTGGCCTCTTCAGGCAGCAGTTGGGACGTGCCATCCTCCTAGCCAGCTGCCTGGCCCTTCTCCACCCTCCTGCCTCCACCTCCCCATGTCTGCCTGGCACTCCCCTAGTCAGCATTCAGACTCAGCCGAGAGACCCTCTGCTTGGCAGCCACCGCTGAGCTCTCTGCACAGTGATGGCAACTGCTAGTCCTTGGCACCCTCTGTGGGGTGGCCTGCACCCAGCTGCGCCCTGCTGGGTGGACTGTGCTGTTTGGAGGGCAGGACCTAGTCCTGTTCATTTGTTCAACCTAGTACTTAGTTCACGTTATTTGCTCAGTGACTATTGATCATAAAGATGAGTGAATGTCAAATATTTGTTGCCATAAAATAAATTGAAATAGTAACATGATTTTGTGTGTATTTGCTATAAAACTTGTGAAGGAAACTCAACACCTAGCTTTCTATAAGTAATATAAATACATGTGTGTTATGTATACACATTAAGGGGGGATCTTATAAAGTACCACCAATGTTATTTATTACTGGAAGTTTTACACTGAGGACCTGTGACCATGGGACAGACCCCGGGATGTGACCTCTGTGTGAGAGGCAGGCCGCACGAACTCACTGTTCAGTGGGATGCCGGCTGGTGCTCAAAATAAAAGTGTTTCTTGGTGAGGCACATTTGGAAAATGCTGGGATAAATCTCCATTTATGAAATCTAGCACTTAATTAAAATACCTCCTCACAGTCTAGAGATCCAGACCCTGCTCTGCTTTCTATCTTGTTTACATTTACTTACCACCTCGTATTTGTTGCCTTCCAGCCTTTGTGGTGACATGGCACCTGGCTTCTTTCTTCACGGGAAGTTCGACACACAGCTCAGCCCTTGACACGTGGATCGGTTTGATGAGCTACCTGGTGTAGGTACGTGAGGCCTCCGTTTGGAGTCTTATCTGCCCTTTGAATCGTACCTGTGGGTGCACATCCATTCCTACTGTTCTTGTTGTTTTCTGAGAATGGAATTTGTTCTGAGGAGTAAAACTCGTGTCAGAGATGACCTTTGTCTTGTCTTCTTAGAAGTATGTGTTTATAGTGTGACACCGAGGTCCTGAGGACTCTTTATCTTCTTTGTTATGTGAAATATACAAATTAAGAGTGTGTTCATTCCAGGAGAGGGGAAATTCTATGCTCGTGTGGTTCTTAAAATAATAAGACTTAGGTACAACTCCATGGAAATCAAGTATATGGAATAAGACTGATCCCGGGTACGTTTATAAGTGTAATTTCTGTGGTTCAAAATTCTAACAGAAAGATATAAACTTCTTATTTTATCCATTAGTCTAGGCTTAGACAAAACTAAGTGCTAAATTATAAGCTAAATGACTATACACATGAATTAATTAATGATCCCTTGATTTCCAGGGTTTTGTGAAAGTTACTCCCTTGGTATATTGTGACATAAATATGACATAAAATAAAAAATACAGTATTTGACGGTTTCTTTTATTGATGAAGTCTCTTGAAGGGAAAGAGATTCCCCCAAGATATAAGCATATAGTTCAGTTCAGACTCCTTAGGTAAATGGTGTTGTGTGTTGGGGGATGTTGTCACTCAGGGACATTTATTATAAGAGTCATTGTTTCGTTGTATTTGACTTTTTAAATATTTTTAAGAATATGGTTGGTTTGTTAAAATGCTCGTACATGTTTAGAAAAGTTTCCCATCTATATAATTGTATTTTCAAAAATAAACTCTGTAACAGCTCCTCTGCTGCCCCCGCCCCCGAAAGAAGTGCTGGAAACCACGTTGGGGGAATAGCACAGACCTGAGACTTGCTTACGTGTGAGACCTCGCTTTACTGCTTAACCTAGGACCTTGGGAATCATTTTTATGCTTTCTTTTAGAAAGAGTATTATTATTTAATTTGGAAGAAAAGAAGGGAGCAGGAGGGAGGAGAAGGGAAATGATCAATCGTATTGCAATGAACCAAGTGCCCCAGGTCACCTATATTCTTCATGGAGCATCGGCCAACAGTGGGCGTGCTTCCGAGAGTCTGCAAAGAGTTTCCTGATACTTTCCGTGAGTCTGAAATCCAGGATTAGAGTTTAACCTCCCTGACTTAAGGCAGACGCCAATGGTTACCTGCATATTCTACTCAGTTTGATTATTTTGCGGCGTTTTGGCCCACACAGCACTGACATGCATATGTTTAAAAAATGCCAAATCAAACATCCAGAGAGTTCACATAAAAATCTGGCTTCCCAGTCTTCTGCTCTGTAAAGGCGCTACAGTGAAACTAGTTGGACCAGAAATCACATTGTCAGAGGACGTTCTTCCCTCCGTCAGCCTCTACAGCTGGCCCGTCACGTCCTCCAGAGCCTCGCTCTCGCCCCATGTCCTCAGCCCTCACTGTGACAGGACACGGGTCACGCTGCATCCGCAAAATGAGCATCATGCATCTAAGGGTGGGGCTTCAGATGGTTTTTAAACAGCTTGTCAGTGGTTCTGATGCGCAGCCAGGGTTTGGAACCACGGCTTGAATCCCTTCCTCTGTCTCTGTCCTTGTCGCCTCCTCTGTCTCTGTCCTTGTCACCTCCCTCTGTCTCTGTCCTTGTCACCTCCTCTGTCTCTGTCCTTGTCACCTCCTCTGTCTCTGTCCTTGTCCCCTGCCTCATCTACATCTGCCCCTCATCATCTCATTTCTGTTCAGTCCAATCCCCACCCGACAGCCAGAGTCATTGTTTTAAATAGGAAAGTAGCTGGTGAACTCCTGCTTCAGCCTCCTCAGTAGCAGTAGGAGTAAGGTAATGACTGTTAATGACTGTCGGTCCACTGTTTGCATGAAGAGCCTGGGTCCGGCTTGTTGCAGGACCCTGTCATCGAGGCGTTAAGTTCCATGGGGGCGATGGCGGGAAAGGCATGTAAGATGCAGCTGAAGGTGCCCAGGCCGTTTCATTCCATCCCCTGCTCAGTGCCCTCCCCTCTCTGCTGCTCCAGGTGACCCTGGAGTGCGCCGACCTCTCCCAGGGGCGCCCCGTTAGCGTGGATCCCCCGCTCCTCTCAGGGTTTCGTAATTGGACAGTGGCTTTATGGTAAGATTAACTTATGGCACGGCTACCAGAGCTTACTAGTTGCCACTCCTTCATCGCAGCATGATTTACTCAGCATTGTAAGTTGATATTGGTAAATGTTGAGGCAGAATAGCAGAATCAGAGGTGTTGTCAGGGTGGGGTCGGAGCTGGCGTCTTTTCTCTGGCTGCTCAGACACACAGACCTTCCTTCACCAGTGAGTGGTTCAGTCTGGTGACTGGTTGGAGCGCAGTGGAGACTTTGTTTTGTTTCATGGTGACAACAGTGACTGTACGGACCATTGTTTTAGCCACTGACATTCTCACGTAGACTCCGGCCTCGCTGTCACTATCACTGTCCCACTTCCCGTTGGAGGGAAAAGACAGGGTATCATCAGAACGTTTTCATCAAAAGACACCCTTCGAGGTTTATTGATGTTACTTTAATCAGAGTTTTAAAAGAAATCAGTAAATGCAAGGCTCATGGAAGCCGAGGGGGAACTCGGGTCCATGTCGGCACCCCTTGCGCATGGGATCAACTTTGATTTCATGCTGGAGACATTTGTCTGTAGTACAGACCACAGCGTTTCACCGTCACGTTGTGCAGAGGACGCGGAGCTGCGTTAGGGACATAATGAAATGTGCGCGGGCCACCCGGGCAAGCAGACCAGCAGGGCGCGGCAACCCAGCCACCCAGGTCCTGGGTCAGCGCCTGCGGCATAGCCACCTTCTTTACCGTCAATTATTTTCAGTAATGAACCTACAGTGTGTTTGGAGACCCAGTTTACCCAAATAATAAGCCTGGCATAGCTATCCTACATTTAAGAAAACAGCTGGTATTTTAAACTTTCTCCTAAATATTGATTTTTGGGGAAAATGAAGAACAAAATACACAGAGAGAGGCACAAGCCTACCGCGCCGACCTGCTGGGGACCCCGCCAGCGTCCGGCGGCCCGACACGCTGAGTGTCCCCTTGGGTCGGGTGCTGGGCGCTGCACAGTCTGCTCTGTGGGGAGCAGAGCGGCGATAAGCCCATTTTAGGAATGTGCTTGGAGGATTCAAGCAGTGATGCCCCTTCTCTTTTCGAGCTCTACGTTAGTAGAGGCAGAGCTTTTCAAATAATTTAACATCATTGTTGTCTAAATTTCTTATATCCTGAGCGTCCGGGTGCTGGACAGAGGAAGACTGAAATCTATTGGAAACCCACCGTGTTGCCAGCATGCAACACAGCTATGGGGAGGGAATTTAATAGTGTCTGAAGTGAACCTTGGCTTACGGGCATTCACTGCATTTTCACTACACTTGTCATTTGCCATTAACTCCCTTTAATCAGAGAAGCTCCTTAACTGACATGTGGTTGGTTAGGATTCATTTAAGAATCTAAAGTGGGGGATGGGTGTGCCGTGTTGGTTACAGGGCAGTTGCCTCTTGGCGATACTGAGTTGATTGTGATGATTTGTGTTATTCTATATTAACATATCAAATGGATCTAAAAAATATATACTGACTATTCCATCAAACCTTTTCTGATCCTGTCATTGCTTTGGCACCTCGTGTTGACTTCTGAGAGTGACTGTCTTTGATCAGAAGATACACATTCTTTGGGGTCTTCTGTGCTAGCACCATGCCCTGACCCTTTGATAAGTATTTGTGGAATGAGTGAATAAGTAGTTTAGATACAGTTTAATTTTAGACACAGGCAAATGAAGTTATACCAAAGCCAGGAGCTGACTTAATCCATGAACTAGATACATAAGATAGTGAGCAATAAATGATAATTCATCAAGTCTGAGACCGTATCTGGTATGCTCTGCTGGAGCAGAGAGAGATGGGCATCATTTTTAAAGAAGACGCCAGTAAGAGGGAGGGGGGTGGCAGTGTGCTTTTTTAGTGAGTGCTCAAAAAAGCCCTTTCCCTGCCCTAGCCAGATGGCTCAGTTGGTTAGAGCATCGTCCGATACGCCAAGATCTCAGGTTTGATCTCCGGTCAGGGCACATACAAGAATCAACCAATGAATGTCTAAAAGTGGAACAATAAACCAGTGTTTCTGTCTCTCTCTATCCCCCCCTTCCTGTCTCTCTAAAAATCAATAAAGATTTTAAAAAGTCCTTTTCCATAAGCTCACATTGGAAGAGGGACCAGAAACCCAGGCAGGGAAAGAGCATCGGCAAAGGCCCCGAGATAACAGCAGGGTTGGGTGTTGGGGGAGAGACAGAGGAGCCCATGTGCCTGGAGGAGAGGGCAGGACTATGGTGAGAGAGGGAATCATGCCAGTGGCTGTCAGGGAGGAACAGATCACCCAAGGCCACCTAGACCACTTCAGGGACCTTGGATTTTACACTAAGTGACCTGAGAGCCATTGGAAAACTGAGCGAAGGAGTGACCACATGGAAGCACATTTTAGAAGTCACTGTGGCTTTTGGGGGAAGGAGCTGAGTTCATCAGTGTGTGTGAGAGTGTGAGGGTGGGTGGGACCAGCTGTCTTCTTGCACAGCCACACCAGCTGCCAGGACGGTGGCCGTGTGGCCAGCTAAGTGTCTGAGGGAATAGATATAGGTGTCGTCCATGGGACAGAACATGACCTAAGAGGGCCAGGTTTGTGGGACAGAAGGCATGGATTAAGATTTGAACAGGAACAGTCGGGGAAGCTCGCATGACTCCACAGGAGGTCTGTGCTGGAGCTGTCTGCTCGGGGATTCCTGTGGTGGGTCCGGGCCGGGCCTGGAAATGAAAACGTGCAGAGCCAGACGAGACAGGCACCCCAGGAACCGCCCGGCACCTCAGCTCCTAGGGCCCTGGAATATACACGGAGCATCACCTGACCCCGAGGGAGAGAAGGGTTGATGGGTGGGGTCT